AAACCCCGGAAAAACCCACAAAAACCCACATAAACCCACATAAACCCACATAAACCCACAAAAACCCGCAAAAACCCCAACCCACAAAAACCCGGGGTAGCGAACCCTGGAGGGGGGTATAACAAATTTGTTACGTAACGCATTTCATAAACGCGATTAAAAATCGGATTGAACTCATATCATCCAGAAGGTTTCAGTGTACGCATGTAAATACGTTTTTCATTATGGTGCTCACATTAAAAGAAGAGCAAAATTCTTGCCTACTTGTGAACCATCATTCCTCCACAGTGACCTAGGAGGGCGATGGTGCGACGTAAGTTTCACGATTAATTGAGCCTTACCTTTAAGATGAGAATTTGATCGGAATTTGCCGATCACCTGAGCCCCAACGAGGTCACTTAGGAGGCATGATGGTTGTCAAGAATTGTACTCATCTATTAATGGTCGTACGATAGTTTTCCGGGTGCAACTTTACAAAAGGTTCCATTGTGAGTCTTGGTAAACGTTGAGAGACCTGTAAGATTTACAATTTCCATTTCTTATATGATGATGTCGAATATGATTTCGTTGTTCTTGAACAAGAAATTCGCAAAATTCTAATTTATCTAGCAATTTAAAAGAAATAGAAGCAATAAAAGCGACATTTGTCTACACAACCTGGAACAAATGAAAATTTTGCAAGTTACTGTTAAAGAAATTACCTGCGGTGAAATCAAATTTACGTTACGTTACGAAGGGGGAGGGGGGGTCTAAAAAATGATGATTTTTGCGTTACGTAATTTATGGATGGCCCCTAATACATATTGTAGTGTCACACTAACTCTTGTTTTTGTTTAAATAGTTACTTGATTTTTTTAGTGCTGCCTTTAAAAAATCCGTGCGAAATATGTCTGATATGTATGCGCAAACTTACAGACAAACGTTGCCGACAAACTGCCAAATGCCAGAATCAATCCCCAAACGGTGACCGCAGTGCCGAAGAAAAAGAAGAGATCTGTCATTAAGGCGACATTGTACGCCAGATATCCCATCATCGTTTCCGTCATGGTTTTGGGAAGTATCGTATGCGCAAAAACAGGTGTGTCCGGAGCCATAAGGAAGAATCCGAAGCTAGTCCAGGGTCCGCAAGAGGTAAAGAAGATGTTCGGTAAGAGAACCAGATCGATAGCTCGGGAATAAAAGGACTTTTCGGGAATGTATTTCGGCATCCAGTTTCCTACGGGATAAGAAATCATTTTGTAACTTTGATAAAATTTCAATGGAAATATTACGCGTGGTCATGACCATTTTTGTATATATACGTTTTTAGTATGGATTATGTATTAATTATGCTTAGTGCCACAATTCTCATTGGAAGTATAAGTATTAAAATCACAATTTTTCGAAAATTTTTAGCAATTTTAACACCGTGAAATCAATACTTGCCTTATAACCAGATTTCTAACAGTGAGGAAACTATGTATGTAAATAAATGTCTGAAAACAGAACCGTTTATATGTATCTAGATTTACGAATTCTCGAATTCATGTTTTGCAATATCCACGGCGGAAATTTTCTGAGCGTTCTGCTAAATAAGTTTCAATGCTGAGATATTGTCGTGAGTAGGTTCACTAATTGGGTAACAAATCATAACCACAAATAATTACTCACCTTGGAACTGCACCGAATATCTCATCGCTCGATTGATCCCATTTTTCAACTCGTCCTGCTTAAAGTAGAGTAACCAGAGAGGAAAGCAGGCAATGACCATGATGAAAGAAAAGCCGAAACAGATATGAAACGACGGGTTGTAGGAGCCACCCGGGTAGTCCGTGAACACTTCGTATGTCCGCCAACAACAAATTATCATTTGCAAAGTCAAAGAGAGGCAGCCGTACAGCTGCAATTTTCTCAATTTTGGCGTCCCCACAAATTTCTGGGTGGAAGGGTTAAAATTCATCCCAAGGGGACCTAGCAACGAGAAAAGTTTCCCGGAAATGTAAATTAATTTGTAAAATAGTTTCGTGTACATGGTAAATAAATAATTTGAGATTCTTGAAAAATTTGAAGAGTTTCACATTGAGGCGAATATTCGTGGGTACTGCGAAAATAAGAATAAAATCCTTGGGAAAAATTTGTTTTGGAGAAATATTTTGTAATTCATGGTAATTTGTGATTCCAACCAATTATTTTTGGCATATGTACATATACAGTCTTGTTGTAAGTAATAATTTTAGGAATTTATAGGTAAACTAATTGCTTGTAGAGATATATAATTTGTTGAAGGTAGGAATGTCGTTATTACATTGATGGTCGTGGTACAGAATTTGACTGGGGTATAAAAAACATCTACTAATATTTTGTTGAATCACGAAAAATTCAAGCAAACGATTAGTATGGCTTAAATTATTGGTTTAACAAGGATCAATAAATTAAATTTCACAGGACACGTACATACTTTGAATTAGTTTGAATTGCATGGAAACAGAGGCTTTCCAATTTTCCAATTTTTGATGGATGGGAAAAAGTGCCTTTTCTCATTTTAGTTTTTCCATCTGTAACCTCAATTTGGTTGTTATTAATGGTAAGGATGGGTAAGGCAAACCCTGGATAATCAAAACCAAGAATTGTGCAGTGGTGTGTGTGTGTGTGTTACCAGTTGAACTTGGCGCTTGATTACACACGTGTCTCACATTGTCCAAGCTAACGTCACCTAGCGGCAGTTTGGGAACTATGTTGCATTTTTCGTTTCTAGAGGGCGTTTTTCGCTAAAGTGTCAAAACGTTGACGAACACGAGAACAAGCAAACACACCTTTTGGATCTGCCGAGACTTGATCAAATGAACGGGCTCACCCCCTAGAGTTGACATTTGACCTGTGACATGCGTACACCCCCTAAAATTTACACTTTATCTGTGACCTGGGCACACCCACTAGACTTGACATTTGACCTTTGACCTGGGCACACCCACTATACTTGACATTTGACCTGTGACCTAGGCACACCCCCTGGACTTGACATTTGCTGCGACCTGCGTACAACCCCTAAAGTTGACACTTAACGGACTTGACACTTGACCTGTGACCTGGGCATATCCACTATACTTGACCTGTGACCTCTGTGTCCCACGGAATAGTTGAAACTTGACCTGTGCCTTACAAATTTTAATTACCTATCAGCGCCACCTATCGGATGTTGGCTGTTTTTCAGCGCTAGAGGGCGGGCTTTTGCTTTAAGTGCCTAAACGTTTTTAAAACGTTAGAACAATGGCACACTTTAGAATCGCGACCGAATGTGCTTCGTGGTCACACCCTTTAGAGTGGTGACTGAATGTTTTTCATGGTTACACCCATAGAGTCGTGCTTGAACGTTTTTAGCGGTCACACCCTGTAGAGTCGTGGCTGAACGTTTTTAGTTTTCACACCCTTTAGAGTCGTGGCTGAACGTTTTTCATGGTCGCACCCTTTATGGTCGTGACTGAACGTTTTTCATCGTCACACCCTTTAGAGTCGTGGCTGAAGGTTTTTCGTGGTCGCACCCTTTATGGTCATGACTGAACGTATTTCGTGGTCACACCCTTTAGAGTCGTGGTTGAACGTTTTTCGTGGTCACACCCATAGAGCTGTGACAGCAAGTATTAGTCAGCAGACATTTGTATCTGTGACTAAATAAAATCGTTTTGCTTAGAGCCCGCAATGCAGGCTTAAGAGACTAGCACATAAATATTATTATTACAAAACATTTTACATGACAGCTTTTCATGAACAAAGAGAACGCATGACTGGTTTTTGTGAACAAAATTATTCAAAAGGAGCGTGCACAAGGCATATTTTGTTTGAATACTAATTAATTATACTTAATGCCACAATTGCGATTGGAGAGATAAGTTTTAAAATCAAAACAATCCAAATCCATGAATATTTCGGGGATTCATGATTCATGAAAATCCACTATGCACGGTCCCAAAGCTGGAACTTCGTCAACATAAATGAAGCTCGCGGGAATAAAAAAAGTCGCAATGAAATACATTTCACATTTCTTTCTGGCTAGTTATTTTTTTAAAGGAGGTGAGGTAAAATGACCGATATGTTACATACCCTTTCGCGTCGATTTCATCGAATTAAATACAAAACATTGCAAGTGATATTGTGGATACAAGGATAAATGTAACATAACATTTCTTAAATTATGTGCAACCACACCCCCTATAAAAATATAGGAAGAAAATTGGAAAAAATGAGAAAGCCAATGTGCATCCTGTAGGGCAAGAGTTAGACCTATACTTGCATTTGCAATTTGACTTCCCCCTTGAATACGAACATTTTGATGCATCAAGAGTTTCAAAATTCGAAAATTGGCGGTTTTTTGACATACACATAAATCTTTAAAAAACTCGTGGTCCCAGCGTTTCCCTTCGGACAACCAAAGGCCAGATTTTTCTACTTGGGAAGAGCTACATTTCCAGCTTCTGTTGCCCGAAGGGAAACGCTGGGACCATAAGATTTTTGGGGTCAAAGTTTCTGAGGGAGGTTCTTATACGGCAAGTGCCGTAACAAACGAGGGCTAATGATGTACCAACATTTAAGTTTTTTGTATTTTGATAAGCCAACATCCCAGTGTAGATAATTAAATGAAGCGCATGATTGAGTGAGCGCGACAAGGTGCGAAGGATACGCCACTGACGCGCGATGGTGCGGGATACCCACCAGAACCCGAGTTTAACACTTTCAATCGCGAAATATGGAAAATGCTTTTATGGAACGCTTGGTCTGGTTTTCCTCAGGTAAATTAAAATAAATTAACCCCGTAAATCTGCATATTACTCAACTTCAAACATTGGTAAGACCTTTCAGTTACATATAAATACTCTTTGCTATTGAAATGCTAGTATAAATAGAGCCACAAAATAATATTTCCATATTTATCCAATTATTTATCAATATTCAATATTAATGAACATTTTAAAATACAGTAAAATTTGGTTGTCCGTATCTCTCCCCAAATTTCCCCAGTGGTCAACATGGAATCTCAACCCCTGGAAAGAACCCCACAGGAAATGGCACTAAATAATCCGATCGTAAGCCAAACATTCCATAACATTAATTTCAACTTTTGACTTAACTACTTTGCAAACTTCCAGATTTTGATGGAGATATTTAAACAGACCTCCACCCCGTTGAAAACTTGTCGACTAGTTTGCCAATTTTGGAACGAAATGGTCCTCTCCCTGCCAAATACGAGACTTGCGTTAAAATTGAACGACGAGTTTGACCGGAATAAGAACACATATTCCTTTTTCGACTTATGCTTCTCATTAAATGACCGACTTGCGAAACGGATCAGGGCCTCGTGTCACACCGAAGTGACGGACGACTTCGCCTTCAGAGTGACCCTCTTCTGCGACAAATTTAGCGACATCGTGCAAATTTTGGAGCTCTCCATCGACAGCGACAGCTTGCAATATATCCACCAAGTCTTGACTAATTGCTGCCCGAATTTGCAACAGCTACGAATTTTTTGCGGATTTACAATTCGCGAAAGAATTTTGATGGAACCGCTGCCACCCAAACTAAAGTTGACATCTTTTGTACTTACTGCCATATCAAAAGTACAGGTTTGGAATCTTACCAGTTTTGCTCAGGTGGTTGTCAACGCGTCGAAAAATTTAAGAGAGGTCACCCTCCCATGGGGAATGCATCTTAATTTGAAAAAATTAAAATTCCTTGACTCCTTGACCATCGCACTGAATAACCTTTCATCACGTCACATCAATCGCTTTAAATCTTCCGAGCTCTCCCGTATGCTGAATCAGATTGGCCACCAACTGGTCACCCTAGGTTTTGGGGCATCCGATGACATGGACACCATCCTGGATTCAAAAAACTGGAATAGACAAGAATTCCGGATACCGGGAAAGATGTCGAAACTGAAAAAATACCGGAACGTGCTGGTCGACGTTTTTCAATGCGACGACGTCTTGCAAGACTTGCAAAGAATGCCCGCCCTGACAACGCTGGTTATTGGGAAGACGTTCGGAACAGGGTCGGCAGGTTTGCATGAATATTTGCAAACTATTTTCAACGCGAAGAAGGTTTTTGGAAATGTGAAGATTTTGAAGATTTTTGAAATGCATGATCGCACGCTTTTGGAGGGATTGAAGACTGCATTTCCGAACCTGGTGAGATTGCTGTTGGGTACGAACAGTAGGACAGGCGACGACGGGGAGGGGATGGAGTTGGGCGGTGTTCTTAAGGCGTGTGTGGGTTGGGTGGGGTTGAAACATTTGGAATTGTGGCTGCCCTTGTACCCAAAAGAAATTATGGGTGTCATTAAGGCTCTGTTGGATGGCGTGCAATTGTATAAAAGTGAGTGATAGATTTTAGAAATTGTAATTGCATCAGGTGATATGCTGTCCTGGATAAGCAGCATATGCAAAAGTAGAATTGACGGTCCCCATTTTCCCTCCCTCTATTAATTTTACTTTGTGTATTTTGATACACTGTGTATCTATTTACATTATCTGTGGTGAGTCGGGTTACACATTAAAAACCCGATAAATTTCTGAATCCGAACAGATCAAGCGGATCAGTTTTTTTAACCGGCTTGATCCATGACGCGACTCACCTCTTACGTGTATCATTTTTATATAAATACGGCCCGCGTATAGTTTATGTATTATTGTATTAGTATGCTAATTGCTTTTATTTCCATATTGTTTTAAACATCAGAGCTTAAAACGTTGACAATTATGGAATGCTGGGGGGATTGGGTGATACGGGATTTGACCGAGGTCGAGATGGACATGTTTAAACAACTCCTTTTGGCGATGGATGGAATGGACCAGGTCGAAATTCACGATCTTTATGTAAGTTACTTATTAAGCTACTCCATTTACATAATTACGTAATGCTGATTAATGTGATACATACAAAGAATTATTACTTATTTTTCTTCCAGCTTAGCAAGGAATCTGCCAGAGACATATTTGAATTCATGGAGTCAAACAAAATGTCGGTGTCCAAGTTTAAGATATTTTCGGGAAAGACGTATCCTGACTATGAGGAAATTTGATTGTGTGCTAATATATTTTAAGGGAATGGCGTTAACACTTGCTTATACGAAAATAACTCTTTAAAATGCCAAATTTCGCCATGAATTGCATAATCTAATATCTTTCGTTTCATAATATTCAAGTAATTACTTAATTTATGAAATATTTACTTTGTATTGCTGAATAAAGTTAATAAGTTAAATTCGCTCAAAGGATGCGTAGATTAAAACATTCTTTGAACAACGAGCAATAAAATAAACTTAATTTCACAGAAGCGAATTTTAATTTGATTCACTCCAAAGCAGAGTTTTCCTATTTTTCCAATTTCCCACATCTTTTAGTAAAAATGCCAGCCTCCGTGGTCAGTTTAGTTTTTACAAATGGAAACTGGATATCTAATTGTAAAAAAATGCACACGATAACTTTTCATGAACAAAGAGAACACATTTTGACTTTGGTTGAGGGAAGAAAATCATGCAAAGGGAGCGTGCATAAAGCGTGTGACAAATTTTTTGAACCCTGCAGTGTGACCAGACCACCAATTGTTATCAATTCTACAGTTGACATTGGAAATATAAGTGTTTGAAGTAAAATTCCTAAAACAGCACTACTTCATGATCTTTTCTAGTTCCCGCGACGAACCCACCTGGCTTTTTTTATTTGGAGTGAGCCAGAAAGGGTTCGTGGAAAGTGCATAAGGAAAAACGCCACGATAGAGGTACGATTTCTGACCCCCTATTGGTAGCATTAACGCAGCGCGTGGTGGCTGCTGCACGCCCAAGCAGTGTATGCTTCGCCCCACGATGGTGGTGCACCACCGCTCATATCCACATATCCTCGCATCAAAAAATTACGTTGGGAGCACCTAGGTGGCGTCGGCACCGCCATTTAGAGCATCAAATTTGGGGAACGCGACTCCAAAATTGGCGAAATTGGAGAGAATATGTTCAAATAGGGGTGCGGACGCCACCTATGTGCTGCAAACGTAATAATTTTTTGATCAGGATATGTGGATATAAGCGGTGGTGACGGTGAGAGTTGCAGCCACCACGTTTGGCAGAAAATGCACGAAATCGTATGTGCTCCCAAAATCTCACTTTTTCATCTCTTTTGCGGTGGCTGTTTTTCAAATACACTTTCTAGGAACTCTAACTGTGTATCAGTTAGAGTCCTCGCAGGAACTATGTAAGGATAATTTTGTAGCTTAATTCATAACAGTATTTCAAATTGAAATTTTCAATAGGAAATGCTATCCAAATATGTGCTTACATATTTGTAAGGTCTTACCAGTAATTGAAGTTGAATATTGTTCAGACTAATAGATTTTTTTAATCAACCGGAAAGAAATGTGCAAAATAGTTTTTTATTCCTGTCGAGAGCACATTGACTGGTTCGCGGGCTCCAATTTAAATATATGGATTCCTTGTTTGCCCCGGACATGAGGGACTCAGTTCGACATTCCGAATTTGGAATTTAATTTCAAAGAATTTATCTTTCCAAAAAATTTCAAACGGACCATGGTGGTCACACTAGATGCAGTGCTTAATGACACCTTATGCATGCTCCCTTTGCATAATTTTCCTTACTCAAAACCATAGATCCTGTATATAAATAGAAACCAAAACGTGTTCTATTTGTTCATGAAAAGTTCTGGCGTGCATTTTTTTGTAAAAATAAATAAATAATATTGATATCCAGTTTCGTTGGTAAAAGCTAAATTAACCAGGGAAGTGAGGAAAATGCTCGAATTGAAATTCGTTTCAGTGAAATTAAATTTATTGTTTCAAAGAAGGTTTTAAGCCACTTATTGCTTGTTCGAATTTTTCACCACACAATAAAATATTATTGCAGATGCTTTAATACCCTACGGCTTAATAATATTGATGCTATGTATGTGCTACGACCATGTCCAGAATCAATTTAATTAAATTAGGCCAGTGACCTTATCTTTATTCAACAATACAAAGTGAATATTTAATAAATTTAGTATGTATGTAATTTTTTAAATATTATGGAATAAGAAAACATTAAATTATTTCAATTCATGGATAAACTTCTAATTCCAAAAGTGACATTTTTGTATCAAGAACACTGCTCATTCAAGCTGCTGCTGCTGCTTACTCAAAAAAAGTAGTTTTAAATATTTCAGCACAAAATCAAATTTCCAAAAAGTCGTGACACTCCATTCCCTCAAATATCTTAAACTTCGAGACCGACATTTTATGGGCCTCCATAAATTCGAACATGTCTCTGGCAGATTCTTCGCTAAACTGGAAACAAAATGAATATAATATTACCATTTATTATTAAATTAATGAATATTCAGCACATAATTAAATATGTAAATGACAAAGTGATTAATAAGTATCTTAACTTACGCAAAGATTCCCAATTTCGACCTCGTCCATTCCATCCATCGCGAAGAGCAGTTGTTTAAAGAGCTCCATCTCGATCTCCGTCAAATCGTGGGTCTCGTCAGGGCCATGGTAGCTCAAAATTGTTAACGTTTTCAGCCCTGAAGTTTAAATCCACATGAAAAAATAAAAGCAATTATCTTATCTAACATGTGATTTGATAACCTGGTACTCGCCACATCACTCACCTTTATACAATTCCATACCACCCAACAGACCCCGAAAGACATCCACAATTTCGTCCGGATACGTGGGCAGTGATAATTTCATGTGTTTCAACCCTCCCCAACCCCCCACACGCCTTCAGAACCGCGCCCAACTTCATCCCACTCCGCTCTCCGCGGTGATCCACCTGGCTAATCGTGCCAACCTTTAATCTCACCAAGTTCGGAAACGCAACCTTCAATCCGTCCAAAAGCTTGGGATCATGCGACTCAAAAATCTTTAAATTCTTCACACCCCCAAAAACACTCCCAGCTGCGAAAATGGTTTGCAAAAATTCATGCAAACTCGTCGACTCTTCTGTATGTGTCTTTCCAATCACGAGCGTTTTCAGGGCGGGCATCCTTTCCAAGTCTTGCAAGACGTCGTCACACTGAAAAACATCGATCAGCACGTTCCGATACTTTTGCAATTTCGGCATCCTTTTCGGCAATCGGAAATCGGGCCTATCCCAGTTTTCGGAATCTTTAACCCATTCAATGGTATCATGTTCGCCAAAACATAGCGTGGCCAGTTGGTCACCAATCTGACTCAATATACGGGAGAGCTCGACAGATTTGAAGCGATGAATGTCACGCGGTAGAAGATCGTCCGGTGCGATTGTTAAAGAGTCGAGAAATTTCAAATTTTCAAAATTCGGGTAGCTTCCCCATGGAATTGTGACCTCGCTTAAATTTGGCGAGGCGTTGAGAACGACCTGAGCAAAACTGGTAAGGGAACGAACCGGTGACTTCAGTTTGGATTTGAGTACAAAAGATTTCAACTTTAGTTTTGGTGGGAGCGGTTCCAGAAAAATTTTGTAGGAATTCTCAAATTCGGACAGCAATTTGTTAAGACTTGGTGGATGTATTTTAAGCAGTCTTCGTCTTCGATGGAAAGCTCCATAATTTGCACGATGTCGCTAAATTTGTCGCAAAAGTGGGTCAGTCTGCCGAAGCCGAAGTCTGCCACTTTAGCGTGACTTGTGCCCGTGACGCTGATCCGTTTCGTGAGTCGGTCATCTAATGAGAAACATAACCCGAGAAAGGAAAATGGGCCTTTCTTCCAGTCTAATTTGTAATCGAGTTTTAATCCAAGTCTTGTATTTGGAAGGGCGAGAATGATGTCGTTCCAAAAGTGGCAAACTAGTCGACAATTTTTCAACTGGACGTCGGACTGCTTTAATATTTCCATCAAAATCTGGAAATTTGAAAAATAATAACTCTTTAGGGAGCGTCCATAAATCACGTGATCGATTTTTGGACAATTTTGACCCCCTCCCCCCCCCCTTGGTGACCGATTTAATAAATCATAATTGAGTTCTTAATTGTATCCATTCTAAAAATATTTGGGTGGGTTTTTTTGTTTTTTACATACAATCGGATTATTTAGTGCGATTTCCTGTGGAGTTCTATCGTCTGGGTGAGATTCCATTTCTGACAGAAATTTTCAGTAGCCAAATTTTTCTGTTTGATATTGTTTATTAATTAATTAATAAATACTTATGATTAGATAAATAAATATGTAGGATTTTGTATTTCAATTTCAATGTATTAATTTATATGTATGGAAAAGGTCTTACCAATGATTGAAATTGGATAATGTTCAGATTGATGGGATTAATTTATTTTTTTTATAACTGACAACTGGAAAAATGATGTATAAAGTTTTCTCCTTTTTTATTCCTGTCGAGAACACATGTTGACTGGGTCGCGGGCCTCAGTTTAAATACGTCGACTCATTCTGTAGGACCGTGCATGAAGGAAAAGATCTAGTTCCTAGAAAGATGTGCTGCAAGTTAGCCGTGGCCGAGATGCAATTTAGCCGTAGCCGTGGCCGAGATGCAAGACAGCCGTGGCCGTGGCCGAGCCGAACAATTTCAAATCACCCCAAAAATTTCATTTTACCCCAAAAATTTCATTTTACCCCAACAATTTCATTTTACCCCAAAAATTTCATTTTGCCCCAAAAATTTCACTTTACCCTAAAAATTTCATTTTACCCCAAAAATTTCATTTTACCTCAAAAATTTCATTTTGCCCCAAAAATTTCACTTTACCTCAAAAATTTCATGTTACCCCAAAAATTTCACTTTACCCCAAAAATTTCATTTTACCCCAAAATTTCAATTTACCCCTAAAATTTCATTTTACCCCAAAAATTTCATTTTAGCCCAAAAATTTCACTTTACCCTAAAAATTTCATTTTACCCCTAAAATTTTACTATGCCCCAAAAAATTTCATGTTAACCCCAAAAAGTTTATATTACCCCCAAAATTACGTTGTCCCTTCAAACGTCATGCTACCCCAGAAATTTTGAATCACGCGAAACTTTTGACTGGCAGAGACGACACGCGATTTTGATTGTGCTTATACATGCGTGTATATAATTTCCATCGAATGGAGACAAAGTACCAGAGTACGTAATTTACATCCTACTTTTCTGCACTTCTATACAGACTTGCTATTAAATGATATATGCAGTTGAAGTTCAGTTGTTCATTTGCTACGGAAGTTTATGAACGGGGTAGGTAGACTCGTGCAAGTTTCCCGGTGACCCATACTTATTTTTCAAAATCGAGCTGAATTTTTTTAGAGAGATCGATAAAATCGATAAAATCTCTCTAAATATTTTAGATGGATCTTTTTCGAAGAATATGAAATGAAATTGGTAAAATTTTTCTCCGGAGCGACCCTATGGGGTGACCCATACCGATTTTTAGAAATTGCTTTAAAAAATGAAATCCGGCACGGTGGTACCTATAATGGCTTCTCATAAAAGAATATAAAGTTAACAGTAAGTAAAGTGCAACCAGAGTGACCTTGGAGGGTGACCCATACTGATTTTCGAGATCTTCATATCGAGCTGAAATTTGATATTGAGGCTAAAAACAATTTCTAGGTGGCACACTTGGAATACAGCTTGGAAGTTCAGGATGTCAAAGAAGCCTACTGGTCATGGTAGTTAAGGGACAAGATTTGTAAATATGGTGCCCACTATATAGTTAGACAGGTGAATTTTAAAGTATACTGGGCAGTTATTGGAGGTTCTTGTTTAGATATATTTTTACTGACACGCAATCTGAAGGGTAACCAGCACGTACAAAGCACTTTTTATTAAAACGCCAAAATTCAATAGAAAACCTGTTGGAAAATAGGTTTATATACGTATTGAATTCATTCAATTTTTCGAACAGTATCGCAAACAAGGTGACCAGGTCCACCAAGGGGGGTGGTGTTCTGCCCCAGAAAAGGTCTTGAAGGTTTCTTTGAGCATGTTGTACCTCTCCCCTTTTGGCTCGGTCAGTGTGGTCAGATTTTGAGGTTCCACCTCCTGGTTAGGGGTTGGCGTCACTTTTGACATGCACGATGTTATCAAATAGTCAAAGTTACGCTTGTCCTTATCTCTGGTGAAAAACACAGTACTGGTGTAGCAGAAAACTTTTGCTACCTATCATTTTACTACCTATCCTCCTCAATGGTTGATTGGGAGAGAATGACCTCAACGTTAACTTTCACCTCAACGTTACCTCAACCTCAACGTTAACTCTGTCATGTCCCAGTATCGCTTGGTTTTTGAATTATTTTTCAATTCCCAAAAATCTTGGAAGTTTGAAGGGATAATTTCCCCGGTGTCGGCAAAGTTGAACATTAAGAGACGGCCAATAATCTGCACAAACTCGGCGTTGCAGAGTCTTCCCGTCTGTACGAGCTCTTGTAAGTGACCGATTATTACGCGAGATAAGTTTCGCTCGTGGTGGTGGGTTGTTAGTCGGTCGTAGAGGTGAGCGCGGGTTCGGGTCCAACCCTGTAAACCCGACCCGAACCCGAACCCGAACGGGTTCGGGTCAGGCGGGTTTCATCGATAACGGTTTCGGGTCGGTTCGGGTTTTAAAAATAGTTTTCGGGTTCGGGCCCTCAAAACCCGAAAACCCAAAATTTACTTAATTTGGTGGCATATAGTTATGTTTGTACTTATGTACTTATGTTTTGCTTTTATTGTGTACTCACATTGCAAATACTATATGTACATAACTGTATTTACACATTATTTAACTGCATTTGATTGTTTAGTTTATTTGTTTAAAAGGTACTTGGTTGTAAGCTTATTAACTTTTTAACAGTTTATTGTTGGCAATGATTAACTTTTCTCATTTGACAAGGTTTGGGTCTTTATTAATTATTACACGGTTTTAACTTTAGGAGTAAACTGCAATAGGATTTGTTAGTGGGAAATTCATCGTTTTTTATCGCAAATGTTAATTTAATATTAACATTTTGACATATAATATTTCAAGGCTCATAACAACATTTCGGGTTCGGGTCGGGTTTTACATTTTTATGATTTTCGGGTTCGGTTTGGTTCGGGTTTTGTCACCCACGGGTTCGGGTTGGTTCGGGTTTTTGTTTTAGAATTGTTCGGGTACGGTTCGGGTCGGGTTTTCAAAATTTTGGACCCGCGCTCACCTCTAGTCGGTCGTTAGCGTCAATTGGATCATGAAGAGGTGTTTGAGAATATATTTCATGGAGAATGGATACCAATCTCATCCAGACAATCACTGTACAGTCGTTGTCACGAATGCAGACGACCGTCTTGCAGATGGGGTAGAATTTCCTTTGTATTTGCTTGCAACGAGCGTCAAAATCAGTGCCTACCACGGAGGGTCCAAGGAGATAGTTCTGGTTCTTGTCTGAAAGTGTGGTGGTTTTGATAGCTGTGAGGTCGTGTCCACTGCAACAAAATTTACACGCTGCAGATTTGTGACAAAAAATAATAGACATATCATTACGCACATGGAGCACTCAGAATTCCGAATAGTTCTGCACGGACAATGTGTTACACGAGAAAAATGGTCCTTCACTCCTTGACACGTGCAGCACGTAAAGGATTGAATGTATTTATTGGCTCGTATCCCAGGATCATGGTCGTTCCCACTTCAGAAAGATGGGTCAGGATTTGTTTTCATAGCTTTGAGTCGGGAGTGGCACATCCATGGGTGAAGCAGAATAGCTAGCTTGTCGTTGAAAATCCTGACACCCAGAAGGTTTTTGAGATTGTGCTGTGTTTGCTCATCTTCCGTTTCAGTGATGATTGAGGACGTGGAGTTGGTGATGATGCCCTGATTGGCTGTCACAGACTCTTGGACTTCTGGGTGCAAAGTGGAACTTGTAGCCTGGACATGAAATTGAGATAATCGCTCATTTTGGAGAATCCGTTGTTGAGAGTGGGTAAATTCTAGGTCGAGGTGTACAATGCTTGGGGGCTGACGACCTTTGGCTCCCTTTCCTTCACCTCGCGTTTTTGACATTATTTTTTTATTCGTAAACTGTCGTAAACGAAGATGTTTGATTGTTAAATTTTTTTTTGTAGGCCATGACTCTTGAGTAAATTTTCGAATATATCAGCCAAGAATTGTAGTTATGGGAATGAAGTCTAGACAGAGAGTATTCTGTTTTTTTCTGCATATTCTGTCTGCAACAATTCAGTTACAAAAATCCTGAGTCATAATATATATATATAGCGGCGACATTAAGGGGTCGTACCCCCATAATAAAACTGCTGCTCGCAGTTTTATTGGTCTATCATTGTCATTAGGACTTAATTTTGGTCCTCCAAAAATGGGTGTCAATAATAAGATGACTTGTTCCTGTGATTCCAGATGACATCCAAATGACTCGATTAAATGTGTACCCATAATTGGTTCTGTAAAAAAATTACTATGTATGAAACACATTACTGTGATCATGTGACATGAGAGGGATTCTGAGGGATATGTACCGCTCCACGTTGCATCGATTTTACCAAATTAAATATAAAAAATTGCAAGTAAAATTCCGGGTGCTGCGGTCAATGCAGCATAGATATTTTTGAATTATATGTAACCACACCCCATTCAAAAATTGGGGGAGGCAAATTTGAAAAATGAGAAAGTCTATGCATACTCGGCAAAACAGGAATTAGACCACAACTTGCATTTGACATTTGAATACCCCCATAAATACGGATATTTTGATGCATCAAAAGTTTCAAAATTTGAAAATTTGCGGTTTTTGAACCTACATAGAAATGGTTAAAAAATCATGGTTGCGGCCATTTCTCGGCTGACAACCTGATGCCAGATTTTTCTATTTGGAAATCGCTACATTTTCAGCTTTTGTTGTCCGAAGAGAAATGGCCGCAACTATGAGATTTTTGGGGTCAAAGTTTCTGAGGGAGGGGCTTATATGGCCAAAGCCGTAACAAACCATACCCACTAAACTGTAGAGAAACAAAGTGAGACAGGATTCTCCTACGACCCTGACGCGCGATGGTCGTAGACACACACCAGAACCCGAGCTTTTCTCTTTTTCTCTCGAAAATGGAAACACGTTTCGTGGTACATTTCCCTCAGAATCCCTCATGATAAGTATAGTAATGAGCAACACTTTTTACCTTTCACGCTAAAAAATCTGTGGTTCAGGGAGCAATAAACAATGTAAAGTAGGCATTGTTTGCAAAAATTATTATATATTCAAATATCTTGACTAGGTTGGGATGTAGTAACATAGTTATTAGTAGTACTAGTTATTAGTAGTAAACATATGCTGGACATAAATAACCAAAAAAGGTAGCGATTTTGGTTCTGGAATAAAAGTAAAATATCTCATTTCTCGTGCTTACTGTCCATAATTAAAGTATATACCACAATTGTGCTTAAACCAATTATCATATAAGATATGGTATTTTATTAGTGATTGAAAATGAGACCTGACTAACTTATACGACTATACGAAAATACGACTTTAAATATTTACATGCACCCAAAAATGCGTCTCACTTGATCCCGAGATTTCATCAATTTATCTTGTGGGGACCTAGCTGGGCATGCTTGGGCCTATGCTTTTCCGCTTGAATTTGTGATAGATTTAAAAGAGGAATTCTTGAATTGTGGTTTATCGAGCAGAGTCTCTGATAACGTTGGGCAGCATGGATTGAATTTTCAAGTTTCAAGCATTAAAGTTGATTATTGTCAGGTTTTACCTTCTATAAATATATTTTCCATCCTATCAGAATTATCACTTATTATTTAGGTAGCATTTGAAGGAATTTCGAATTTGAATTGTAAACCGAAAAAATTAAAGGTGCAGGCGAATTTGAAAAATACAGTATAGGCGGGAAGTCTTTCCACCCTCATAATTTTTTCACTTAAAGCGTCATATTTCTCGAGATGCTTGAGGAAATGAACTGCAATTTTGCACAATTACTTATCATGATGCAAGGTTTTCGGAACCATACTTTGGATAACGGCGTGGCACAGGCAACGACAGGGTGAAATTATATACAAAATTCCGACTGGAAAAAAGTCTTTCCACCTTTTCAGATTTTCGTTGTTTTTGTATAATTCTTAAAAACATTCTTGAAAATTGTTCTCCACCCAGTAGGGGATATATCATTCTTTGAAAAATAACGTTTGTATAATGTTAAAATTATTGATTGTTATCAATATTAGCTTATAATGTGATTAAATCGCCTTGTAACAGATCTTGGGCAAGACGTCGTAAAATTTCGTGAGGAGGGGTTTCGAACCTTGCATCATGATAAGTAATTGTGCAAAATTGCAGTTCATTTCCTCAAGCATCTCGAGAAATGACGCTTTAAGTGAATCTGTCCGAATCTGAAACAGTTACGGATTTCTTACGATTGTGTGGAACTCAAGGAAATGTTGCACGAACCGTTGCCGATAAAACGAAAGTTGGAATCGTTTCTGGTCTACTCCACATTGAAGTCCGAGCTTTCTACACTTACCAGCGTTATGCAGGTGGTTATCAACGCCTCGCCGAATTTAAGGAGGGTCAAAATTCCATGGGGATTCTATCCTGATTTTCAAAATTCTACGTTTCTCGACTCCTTAACGATCGTCCTGGATAAGCTCGAAGACTCTGACATCGCTCGCTTTGAACCTTCAAGCTTGTCACGAATGCTAAATCAGGTTGCAGATCAGCTGGTCACGCTTTGTTTTGGTGAATTCGATGGCGTCGAATTCATGCAAGGTCACGGACATTGGGACAGAAAGAGGTTCCGGTTGCCGAAAAGAATGCCGAAATTGGAAACGTATCGAAACATGGTGCTCGACATTTTTCAGTGCGACGACGTCTTGCAAGACCTTGAAAAAACGCCCGCTCTGAAGACGCTGGTGATTGGAAAGACGTTAAATACACCAAATTCGGAAAGTTTGTATGAATTTTTGCAAACTATTTTCGACGCGGGCAAGATTTTGGGGGGTGTGACGACTTTGAAGATTTTTGAGTTATATGATCCCTCACTTTTGGAGGGTTTGAAGACTGCATTTCCGAACTTGGTGAGATTGGAGGTGGGCTCGGACGACGAGCACTTGGAGGACGAGAATGATATGAAACTGGGCGTCGTGCTTAAGGCTTGTGGGAGTTGGAAAGGGTTGAAACGTTTCAATTTGTCGCGAGAGGTTTATACAGAGCCGATCAAGGAAACGATTCTGGCCTTGTTGGAAGGAAGAGAATTGTACAAAGGTTAGTGTTTCGTTTTCATATTAATTTGTTGGAAATGTTCTGCGTAAAGGTGGTAACATCGGAAATTATTTCCAATTTAAGTGTGTCGGTAAAAGAATTGGTAGCAATCTAAAACCAGAAAAACATTGAGTATGTATTATTCTCATTAAGACTTAATTAGAAGCAACATGCAATTTAATTAGTGTTCTGCATGAATTCGAGTCTAATTCGACTCCGGGATTTGAATGATTCGAATCCCAAGTCCGACTCCCTATTTTTGAGAATTCGCTGATTTCGAATCCGTATTCATGCCGGCCGAGCACTAAATTTAATTCATGTAATTTAATTTACTCAATTTTTGTCAATTTCAGGGCTGAAAACTTTCGAGATTGCGGGCTACGGATACCTAAGTTACAAAAAACACCACTTGACATCAGACGAGTTGGAATTGTTGATCGAACTGCTCCTCGCGATGAATGGGATGGACAAGGTCTTCATTACTTATCTTAATGTAGGTTTGCCCAATTAATTTCTTAACAACTATGAATTAGCTTAGCTTGGTTGATAAGATTCGTACCGTATACATGCATATTTATATTAATTTGGTTTCCAGTTTAGCGAAGAATCTAAGAAGAAGATATTCGAGTTGATGGCGTCCAACAACTTGGCCGTGTCAAAATTTCAGATATTTCGTGGGATATCGCTCCCTTCGCGATTAGAGGAAGAAGTACTAATTGTGAGCTAAAACCAAGCGACGAAATCAGTTAAACGGGTCAAAACTTAAAATATGGAAATATGTATCTCTATACATACCAAGATTTGTGACAAGTTTCTAGCCATGAATTAATTGTTCAATTGATGAATACGTATATTAAAATGAAGTTTTTAGTATTCAATATGAAAATGAAAATTCTATTTTTATCTATATACAAATAGATGACAGATGCTTTCGTGAAAAAAATTGCACACGAGAACTTTTCATGAACAAAGAGAACACATTTTGGTTTCTACGTATATTTACAGGAACTATTAATATATTATTATGATTTTGGGTAAGGAACATCATGCATAAGTCGTGTGACAAATTTTTACCACTGCATGGTCCATGTACAATTGGGAAGATACCTTTTTGGAAATTAAGGCTTTGTCTCACGGGCATATTCACCCATGCTGGAGAAAGATTAGATCCAGCGTCGCACTTTTCATAGTGAGAGCAGGACGAACTCGCACGTCCTGCTCTCCGCCTCCACCACCATCGGCCAGGTCGGTTATTGTTTTCAGCCCACACTGAATGTATTGAGTGTGGGTTGAAAATAATAACCGTTCTGGCCGATGGTGGTGGAGAGCAGTTTGGAAGGGGGAATGATGAATGCAGTGTGGCATTCACCATTCATCATTCCAAAACTGCTCTAGCAGTTTTAGTTTTTTTTTATAAAAATGGGGCGACCCCAAGAGGAAGGCGAATGCCCCCCTTCGCCCTCAGTTGCGTTACGTGGGAGGAAGAACAGTCATCATGGTAAGGAGAAAGTTATTTCCCCCATACCACTCTTATCCTTCCCCCCACTAATTTTTTTACCCATCTTCTTTTTCTCTAGGAGGAGGCAAGCGCCAACCGTCAAGCCGGTCGAAGACCCCCTTCAAGAACAAGAAGAAGGTGGTGACCAGAAGAAGGTCCTCTTCGAGCGAAGGAAGGAAGTCGCGTGATGGTAAGAGAAAAATTAATTCCACCACGACCATTCCCCCCTTCGCTCAAATTATTTACCAGTCTTATTCTTATCCAGGTCGTAACAGGCGCAAGGGAACATCCCGCTCGCCCACCCCGACCAAGAAGAAGAAGACCACGACAACCAGGTCATCGTCTACATCGAGCGAGGGGAGGATTTCGCGTGATGGTAAGAGAAAATTTAATTCCCCCCACCACCACGACAATTCCTCCCCTCCCTCAAATTATTTACGGATCTTCTTCTTCTTCAGGTCGAAGCAGACGAAAAAGAAGATCCCGTTCTTAACAGGTGGATTGACAGATCGTATGGATGACATTGTGTAGTGATTTATTTTAACACAAGCTTTCGGAAAACAACTGTTTCCTTCTTCAGGTGGTTAGAAATAATTACAATAATTATTTACACTTGACAAAGTTTAGTGAAGAAATAAGATGGGTAATAAATAGCAAAATAGTTGTTGACAGTAAGTTGTTGTCACGGACGCTGGGGTCGTGGCGCTGGTGGAATTATCAGCTTCGATGTAAGGGGAAGTAATAATGAACTCCATATAGGATTGATGTCCATCCCCATATCTCTGTTCATTCTATGTGGAGTGTTTTTGATAAATAATGCTTCTTTGAATTCGAATTCTTTGAATTGAATTGAATTCTTTGAAGATCCCGTTCGCCCACCCCGACCAAGAAGAAGAAGACCACGACAACCAGGTCATCGTCTACATCGAGCGAGGGGAGGAATTCGCGTAATGGTAAGAGAAAATTTAATTCCCCCCACCACCACGACAATTCCTCCCCTCGCTCAAATTATTTACCGATCTTCTTCTTCAGGTCGAAGCAGACGAAAAAGAAGATCCCGTTCGCCCACCCCGACCACGACAACCAGGTCTTCATCCGGATCGAGCGAGGAGAGGAATTCGCGTGATGGTAAGAGAAAATTTAATTCCCCCCACCACCACGACAATTCCTCCCCTCGCTCAAATTATTTACGGATCTTCTTCTTCTTCAGGTCGAAGCAGACGAAAAAGAAGATCCCGTTCGCCCACCCCGACCAAGAAGAAGAAAACCAAGACTAGAGCCAAGTCCTCTTCTGAATCGAGCGAGGGGAGAGATGGGCGTAGTGGTAAGATAAAACTTATTTACCCCACCACCACGACCATTTCTCCCCTCGCTCAAATTATTTACTCTTCTTTTTCTCCAGCTGGAGGCAGACACCAAGCGTCTCCCACCCGGAAGACGAGGCGACCTACAACTACTACGAGTTGTACTTTCTTCTCGTCCTCCTTCTACCCTCGAGGGGGCTTCTCGAGCCGTGGGAGGGGCGCACGTTGGGGACGGCACCCTGAGCGGGTTCCCCGAGACCCGGGATCTCCTCCACGTAGGCCCCCACCTGTGGAAGATGTTATTCCCTTCAGGAGGATTGATCGCCGCCCAATTTTATAAATTTTATGATTTTCTTGTACAACGATAAACTATGAATTTGATATTGCAAAAAAATGTCCCCCCGAAAACATCAACAGTTTTAAATATCTCTGTACCATTTGTTTCTTCTTTATTATTAAAGATTAGATGGCATGATCATCATCACATCTCATCCTCAGTCTCATCACCATCATAAAGTTTACGACGATAACTGATAAGACGACGACGATGATTTATTGATAACACAGGCAACAATCTTTTATAGTCGAGATGTATAAATGTTTGACGACATGTCGGAGTGGGTGGCGTGGCGTGGCGTCGGACGAGAGAGAGATTTTAATTCTTCTTATTCGTGGCGATAAAAATAAAAAGATAGTTAACTGCTGATCCACTGATGCTCCATTAAAGTTTCTACTTCTTCAAGACGTTGGTGAATGATGGTAATGATGACAATTAAATACTTGTTAAGGCTGACAATTAATTATTTATAGTGACGGTGTGGCTATAAATTATTTTATATTTAAGATCCATTTGATTCTTAAAATAGCACCATCATCAAGACCGATTCTTGTATACGACGCAGTCCAATTCTTTCTCGACGGCGTCGCGATACTCGTCGAATCCGCCGTCCATCCGTTTGACCTTTCCTCCACCGCATACCCACAGCTCCTTGCATACGTTTCGAATCAAGTGTTCATCGTGAGAAACGAGGATCACGCCCCCCTGGGAAAATACAAGAGTTGTGTATGAGTCTAATTACGAATTATGTGGAACAAATTAATTAAAAACATGGTTAATTAATATTGCCTGATAACTATTAATCGTCGCGGATAACGCCTCGATCGTTTCAACATCTAAATGGTTGCTCCAATTGAATAATTATCAATTAATTTTATTAGTTTAAATTAAAAAATTAATTAAATAAATGAAATTACAAATTACAGCCTAATTTTTATTGCATAAAATTCATTTACATAACAAGCGTTTTCACGTAAATACATACTGAAAAATTTTCATGTATGATTAGCTGCTTTATGTGTTCGTTTTGTCTGTCTGTCTGTCCATCAGGAGTAGAACGAGAACGGATAGAGATAATCGAAATCGGTTTCTAGCATCATACATACTACCCCAGAAGGAGGATTCTATCCACTTTTGAGGTCAATCGGACCACGCTGAATTGCCACAGGGAACCCAAAGTTATGCTAACAAATGACGCATTTATAGCAGATCATTGTTATGCATTACTGAGGGCTCCACTCTGTGGAATGCTGGGCCCCTAAGAGTATTGTTCCAGTTTCCTTGTGTTCAATTCATAGTATTTTTATCCAAGCCGTTATAATAGGTGGTTGACTTTTAGACATCAAGAAGCCCATCCTCGTCAGGTGGATCAACAGCTGTTGTAGGTGTATCCTCGTTAGGTGGATCGACAGCTGGAGTCGTACAGGCTCCTGCCTTGGCAGCCTTTTTAGCAGCTGCTGCTTTTGTTTGTGCGGCATGCTTCGCTCGACGACTTCTTTTGCTCATACCCATTGTTCCTATCCTTTGATACTTTCTTCTTTCTCTTTCAAAGTTCTCTCCCTCGATCTGCCTTGGCTTCTTCGGCACGCTTGTCGTATCCTTCGACAATCTTTGTTTTCTTCCTTTGACCTGCTATTCCTTTACCTCCACGCCTGACTTTTGTCACCCTTTTCCTCTCTATCGCCACGCAGAGACTGGCGGATTAAAGATATCGGGATTAAGGATTGAGATTGAGGATTAAATTTAAAATCTTGGGATTGGGATTGACGATTAAGGATTAATCTTAAAATTTTGGGATTAAGGATTAGGATTAGGGATTGAATTTAATCTGGGATTGGGATTAATACGGGATTAAATTTTGGGTAGTTTTCTGAAATTGGGAATTAATTTAGTTCTGGATTAATTGTTTGATTTCATATTGATTTTAAATTTCATTATGCCAGATTTTTAAATTAATTAGATGAATCTGAACTTCGGAACAAGAAATATTTTGAACATTTCCCATGCAAAATTAGATCGCTCAGAGATAAAATTTTTAAATAAGTAGCAATTAAATATTTTTTGCACTAAAAATCATATACGGGCAAAAATGCTAATTTTACTCTTGGTACAATTTTTAACGCAAATCTTTGACCAGAGTTTGGTTAGAGCACTCACATTTCTTTATAAGCTCATACCACTGTTGAACATTGCGCATTTAGGATACCAAGTTACGAGTAGTTTTGAAAAAGGTTGTGCAGTATTTTTAAATATGTGATAGAAATGGACGAAATGCAATCAATTTTCGAAAAGGGAGCGATCTTAAGAGAAGTTAGCTTTTCGAGTTTTCAGTAATTGCAAATTTAATCCCATTTTAATCCCATTCTAATCCCACTTTAGGATTAAAGTTGGCATAGTGGGATTGAGGATTAGGGATTAAGGATTAAAATTCTAAAACTTGGGATTAAAGATTGAGATTGAGGATTAATTAATCCCCAATCCTAATCTCACTCCCCCATCCTTAATCCGGGATTGACCAGTCTCTGTCGCCACGCTTTCTTTCTCCGCCACGCTTATCCTTCTCCGCCACGCTTTTGCTTCTCAGCTTCGCTTTTTCGCCAATCCGTATTTCGCTTATCCTTAATTCGCCAATCCTTACGCAACAACCCGGTGGTGGCGGACAAGTTCTCGTTCAGAACATTAGTCAATATCCACCATGTCCGCTAATTTTTATTGAAATTTTCAAAAACTCGAGATTCGTATTGGGCGATGATGCAATGTTTGAAGGAAGGGTTAGCGGGTGGCCAAGGCCGACGTTGACTTGGTCAAGAAAAAAACAACCCTTGCCGTCTAGGTCAAACACGCACTTCGCTACGATGATGTCAGTGGCAAAATTTATTTGCAAATCAATAATTTAGGACCAGGAGATGAAGGGCGAGATTTTAGCTTCACTTTTTTCTCATGTAAATATTTCCACCTCCGTCAGGCTTTTCTTTCTCCTGTAACACGCTTTTTCCCGCCCCGCTTCTCCTTCTCCGACACGCTTTCTCTCACCTCCGCCACGCTTTTCCGACCTCCGACACGTCTTTCCTCTCTATCGCCACGCTTTTCCAACCTTCGACACACTTTTCCAACCTCCGCCACGCTTTTCCAACCTCTGCCACGCTTTTCCCGACCTCCGACACGCTTTTCCGACCTCCGACACGCTTTTCCGACCTCCGACACGCTTTTCCAACCTCTGCCACGCTTTTCCCGACCTCCGCCACGCTTTTCCCGACCTCCGACACGCTTTTCCGACCTTCGACACGCTTTTCCGACCTTCGACACGCTTTTCCGACCTTCGACACGCTTTTCCAACCTCCGACACGCTTTTCCGACCTTCGACACGCTTTTCCGACCTTCGACACGCTTTTCCGACCTTCGCCACGCTTTTCCAACCTCCGACACGCTTTTCCGACCTTCGACACGCTTTTCCGACCTTCGACACGCTTTTCCGACCTTCGACACGCTTTTCCAACCTCCGACACGCTTTTCCGACCTTCGACACGCTTTTACCTCCGCCACGCTTTTCCGACCTTCGCCACGCTTTTCCGACCTCGGCCACGCTTTTCCGACCTTCGCCACGCTTTTCCGACCTTCGCCACGCTTTTCCGACCTCGGCCACGCTTTTCCGACCTTCGCCACGCTTTTCCGACCTCGGCCACGCTTTTCCGACCTTCGCCACGCTTTTCCGACCTCGGCCACGCTTTTCCGACCTTCGCCACGCTTTTCCGACCTCGGCCACGCTTTTCCGACCTTCGCCACGCTTTTCCGACCTCGGCCACGCTTTTCCGACCTTCGCCACGCTTTTCCGACCTCGGCCACGCTTTTCCGACCTTCGCCACGCTTTTCCGACCTCGGCCACGCTTTTCCGACCTTCGCCACGCTTTTCCGACCTCGGCCACGCTTTTCCGACCTTCGCCACGTCTTTCCTCTCTATCGCCACGCTTTTCCTACCTCCGGCACGCTTTTCCGACCTCCGCCACGCCTTTCCTCTCTATCGCCACGCTTTTCCGACCTCCGACACGCTTATCCTCTCTCCGACAAGTCTTCCCTTCTTGCTTCCTCGATTTGCGTCTTCTGATTCTTTTTTCTCGACAAGTTTTTGCTCTCCTTTTCCTTCTGTCACAAAATTCCTCCTTTGTTGTTGTTATGGTTTGGTTCCCGGGGAACACGCATCTCGCTTCGCCCCAAACTGCCGTCCAGATTTTTTTCTATCATGCATGTTATGTACTTCCGGTGCATTAATTGCTTAGAAATCCTAGGGGTAATGGGGATAAGTACCCCCCATTACCCCTAGGATTTTCTAAGTAATTGAGGCAACGGAAGTACATAACATGCACGATGGAAAAAAATCTAAAAAATCGCCCTTTACTATAACATTTAGCATATTCCTGTTATGAGAGGGTAGCACCTTCCGTGAGGGTAGGGCTTAAATTCCACTCGCAAGTTGCGATTCGCATAACGTTCAGTCCATCCTGCACGGGGCACAGAAGGAATCGATATATTTAAACTGAAGGCCGCGAAGCATACCATCTCCATGTGTTTTCATTCAACCGGAATAACAAAGTAAATATTGAATATTTTGTATTTTACACATTTTGATTTTAAAAATCTATAAGTCTGCATAATATTCAACTTCAATCATCGGTAAGACGTTACACATATGTATATAGATAACATTTCGTATTGAAAGACTATTGTAAATTGAACTGCAAAATCATGTTTACATGTTTATCTTTATATTTAAAAATACTTTACATTATAAAACCGTAAAATTTGGTTGTACCAGGCGACAATTTCACTCCTGGGGGTGGCAGAAATGGAATCTCGACCGGAGGAAAGGACTCCACAGGAAATCGCACTAAATAATCCGATTGTAAGCCAAAAAATAATTTTTGAATGCATAAAGCAACCTTCATTTAACGAGTTGAGCTAAATATTTTGCAAATTTGCAGATTTTGAACGAAATATTTAAACACAACTCCACCCCGTTGAAAACTGCTCGACTAGTTTGTCCCTTTTGGAACGAAATCGTCCTCTCCCTTCAAAATACGAGACTTGGGTTCAAGCTGAACGAAAAACACGACCGAAGGAAAGACCCCTTTTCCTTTCTCGCGTTATGTTTCTCATTAGATGACCGACTCGCGAAAAGGATCAGCGCCTCTTGTCACATTGCAGTGACCGACTTCGGCCTCAGACTGACCCATTTTTGTGACAAATTTAGCGACATCGTGCAAATTATGGACCTTTCCATAGCCGATGAAGACTGCTTAAAATACATCCACCAAGTCTTAACCAATTGCTGTCCGAATTTGACACATTTGCAAATTCTTTGCGAATTTCAAAACCACAAACAAATTTTGATGGACCCGATCACACCAAAACTAAAGTTGAAATCTTTTATACTAAATTCAAAAGTGAAGACACCGGTCCTTACTCTTACCAATTTTGCTCAGGTGGTTGTCAACGCGTCGCCAAATTTAAGGGAGGTCACACTTCCATGGGGAATCCATCCTAATTTTGAAAATCCTAAATTTCTTGACTCCTTAACCATCGAACTGGATGGTCTTCGACCACGTGACATCAATCGCTTTAAGTCTTTTGAGCTCTCCCGTATCCTGAATCAGATTGGCGACCAACTGGTCAGCCTATGCTTTGGTGAATACGATGCAATCGATTGGATCGACGGTTTCGAAAACTGGAGCAGGAAAGAATTCCAGATTCCGAGAAAGATGTCGAAATTGCAAAAGTATCGGAACATTGTGGTCGATATTTTTCGATGTGACGACGTTTTGCAAGACTTCGAAAGGATGCCCGTCCTCAACACGCTGGTGATTGGGAAGACAAATTCGACAAAATCGGCGAGTGTGCATGAATTTTTGCAAACTATTTTCGACGCGGGCAAGATTTTTGGGGGTGTGAAGGATTTAAAGATTCTTGAGCTGCATGATCCCACGCTTTTGGAGGGATTGAAGACGGCGTTTCCGAACTTGGTGAGCCTGGGGTTGGAGACGATTTGTCCGGAGGACGACCGCGAGGAGGAGAGTGGGATGAAGTTGGGCGTGGTGCTGAAAGCGTGTGGGGGTTGGGGAGGGTTGAAACATCTGAATTTGCAGCTGCCCACGTATCCGGAGGAAATGATGAATGTCATTCAGGCTCTGTTGGGTGGCTTGGAATTGTACAAAGGTGAGTGCAGTGAGGGGGGGGGGCGGAAGGAAACAAGGGGATAACCACCTGCCTTGCGCCACTTTTGCATTCCAAATTTTTGTGGAAAGATTTGCGCAAAAAATTAGTAAACAAAATTGATTTTTTCCATATTTTGTTGAAAAATTTTGAACGTAAATGTTGGGAATTATTTTATGTAGAAATAATCTACGCATTTAATATAATCTTGAATTAAATGTATGGGTCGACCCTAGGTCAGTCACCTTTAAAAATGGATTATGCAGAAAGGTTAAAAATAGAAGTACACCCCTGAGAGTCACATTGTCCCCCATAAATTCATAAAAATCCCATCTCACAATGCTAATGTCCCCCAACTTCCTCCGCCACTGGGTGCGTGCCACGTTTTCAAATGGCATGCTAATTGTTTTTATTTCCATGTGGATTTGAACTTCAGGGCTGAAAACGTTGGAAATTTTGAGATACCATGGCCGTGACGAGACCCATGATTTGACAGAGATCGAGCTGGACCTCTTTAAACAACTGCTTTTCGCGATGGATGGAATGGACGAGGTCGAAATAGAGAATCTTTACGTAAGTTGAGTGAGATTCTTATTTTTCACCTCATTTTCATAATTACATATCTATGTACTATTATTAAATTTATTTGGATTAATTTTGTTTCCAGTTTAGCAAAGAATCTGTCACGGAAATAATCAACTTCATGAAGTTAAACAAAATCTCGGTGTCGAAGTTTCAGATTTTTCAGGGAAAGACGTGTTTTGACTATTTGTAAATTTGATTGTGTGATAAAATACCAATATTTAAAACCAAGAAGGTGAGCACGTGGCGACACAAAAACTTGTAACGTTTGAAATTAGAAGTTTAGCCATGAATTGAATTAATTTAATCTTTTGCATTCCATAATGTTCAAATAATTACTAACTTTATGAAATATTTTCTTGTTGTATTGTTGAATAAAGTTCATCATATTAAATAGATCACTGACGTAATTTTATAGAGTTGATTTGTGGTGTGAAACCTAGGATCATTATTATGGGACTGTCGGGTATTAAAGCGTCTGTAATAATATTTATGATGGATGTTAAACAATTCGAATAAACGATAAGTAATATTAGTTTACATAAAACCTTCTTTAAGCAACGACTAAATTTCACAGAAACGAATTTTAATTCGCTCGCTAAAACAGAGTTTTCCCATTTTTCCAATTTCCCGTAGATTTTCGTAAGAAGGGCGTTTCCCTTATTAATTTAGTTTTTGCCAATGGAAACTGGATATTTAATTTTTATTATTACAAAAAATTGCACGCGAGAACTTTTCATGAGCAAAGAGAAAGCGGGTTGGTTTTGAGACAATTTTGCAAAGGGAGCGTGCATAAGGCGTGTGACAAGTTTTTCACCCTGCAGTGTGACCACCTATTATTGTCAATCCTACAATTGACGCAGGGCCCGGGCTGGGTATCTTTGCGCCCTAGGCAAAATTTTTCGTGCGCCCCTAACTTTCACTCATGAGAAAAATTCCCTGTTAAAAATCTACTATTATATACTATACATTTCAGTAGAACTTTACATATGAATAGTTCAAAAGTTAATAATCTCAACAATTATTTTATTCTTGAAACCTATATTCGTACTGAAAGTCCAAATAATAAATCTTGCGGAAATATAAATTTGTATGTAAATGGTTCTGCATTTAGAAGAACCAAGAGATGAAACCAAGTACTTATTAACAGAATTTCACTCCGAATGCGATGGTTTGAAGTGTGACACTCCAATTTTGTAGAAATTTTGTAATTCTATAGTTCAAGTCAATACAACCATCTAACGTAACTAATGTAACTATCCATATTCTTCCTTCAGAGTTGGATATTAAGTTAGAGGGATTTACTCAGGAAGAACATGACCAAATTGGATAAATAATTTAATTAGTTTAATTGGTTTAATTGGTTTTGGTTGTAATGAGTTTTTTGATTTTCATTGGGTTTTAAAGGAATTTTGGTAATTAACTGTGCTTCTGAAGAAAGGGATTAATTTTCGTATCCCGCTTAAAACCAAAGGCATTGTCAAAAAAACCGAGTTCTCTTGGAAAACCGACGCTTGCCTTCTCGAGACTTTTGTGTTTTTACAATATTTTTTTCTGGGGAGGGAGTCAATAAACTTTTATATAAGTTAATACCTAGTTCTAATACGAAGTCCTCAAAAAACGCTCGAAAAGAGTTGCAGGGACAAAAATTAGGAATCAATTGGCGAAACCCGTTTTCAAAAAAATTGAGCCGCCTATGAGCTAAAAATCGCAGACTGACGAGATTTTTCCAACGTTCCGCTCCTCCCACTTCAAGGAGGCCTAATAGAAATGCCAGACTTCCACCAGTGGATTAAGAAATTTCAAGGTGTGAAGATATTTCGGTTTTCATTATTGTCACTCATGATACCAATTTTATTTTGTTCAAGCAAAAAATAAACATACCTTGATTATTCTCGGAATTTTTCAATCCTTATTTCAACAACATGAGAAACAGAGGTATCAAAGACACAAAATTTGTACCAAGCTACTTTCGAGTGTATGCACGCTAAATACATATTATGAAAATTGATCACATTCATTCAGCTGTTGATGCCAAAATGCGATGACACAACTATTGTGCATAAATCTCACTTTCGGGTTGAATAATCCGATCACATAATTTTTAATTTTACTCGACTAGTTAGTATATTAAAATATTGTATACTAGCGTATAAGCCCGTCTCTCGCCGGGCGAGAGATGATTAGATTATTAAAATTTCACCAGTTAAATATTTTGTAGATATTTATTTTAAAAAACAATTTGACGCCAACGGAAGTGAAAGCAATTTGCAACGAAAGTTAAAGTGGAAAATTAAATTTCACCCACCTGGCTCTGTCATCTCTGCCAGCCCATCCTGCCAGTGCCACTGGTACTTTGTCTGGCACCCCATTTGGCCCAGTTATCTCTGCTTGCCTAAACTGCAGACTTTTGCTTTTCTGCCACAGCAGTCTGCCTCCGATACTGCCAGTATATTATGTTGGCCTATTCCTGTCTGTCTGGGCCGACTGGCTAAGAGATTCCAGATAAGCATCATTAGGCCGCCACACCGCGATAACCCCATCAGGCAGCAACAACTCGATAACCCCCATCAGGCCGCCACACCCCGATAACCACCATCAGCCAGTAAAGTTTCGATAACTATCAACAGGCAGCAAAGCCCCGATAACCTATCATCAGGCAACTTATAACCACCGGCAGGCCCCAACATTCTGATAACCGCAATCGAGCAATAACAACCCCATCACCTCACAAAATTTTTAATTAAAAAAATTCAGATTTTTGAATTTTCGCGCCATTTGAAACTTTACTTTCCCTGCTTTCACTTCCCTCACACGGACAAATTCCTTTCACTTCCATTCCCGACACACATTTCCAGCTTATAATATAGATTAAAATATAGAAATATATCTTTCGTAACCGGATTTCGGCTAACTCAAAAATTTTTAAACGCTTCCAAATATTCAAAAAACCAGATTTTGTTATGCAAAAATAGCAATTGCAACAATTGCAGTAACAATAAATTGAGTCTCTAATTCTTTGAAGACTGAAATAAATATGCGTGTATATGTATGTATTTTGGGTGCTTCGCGGCGCCTTCAGATTTTTCCGTTCGATTTTCGCCACCCTGTGCTACTTCGGGGCCTGTTCAAATAGTCATATTTTAGAATTTTTGAACTCACGCTAAGGTTAGAAAAGTTCAAATGTGTGAGAACTCGAGGTTTTGCCCGGAAAACAGTTTAAAATTCGCGTCTCACGCTCATATCTTATCAGCGGCGCCTCAGCGCCCTGGGAAACTGTCCGCCTTCTTACCCCCTCACTGGCACAGTAATAACGCGATTAGTTAACTTGTTATTTGTGTGCTCCGAATTTATTTTGGGATCAGAGATACATTTCTGTGAACTTTTCAGTGCTTTTAGAGTTTTTAAATATGGCCCAGTTTGATTAGCATCAAATAATTTGTTTCTCAATACCTAGTAGGGCCAATTGAAATGACCAATGATTTCCGTTCCCCAAAAGAATTAGTAGGAGTTAAGTTAGACAATTGTACTATTTTTTATTGAAATCCCCATGCAATTGTCGATCAGAAACCATGTTCCGAATTTTTTTGTGACCCAAGGTGCCAAAGTGACAGATCGGCCAAACCGACGTGTTGCAATTTTCGAGCAACATTTTGGTAAACAAAAAAATCGGGCATTTTTCAATTGTTCAATAAAAATCGGAACTGAACGCATGATGGTCAGCCCTACCACAAAATGATCCACTGACACTGGCAGTGACGACTGCCGAAAAAGAAGCGGAAGGAGACGGTCAGAAAGGTCACCAAAATTCACGAAGACACAAAAAAGTGAATTCGTCGAAATTCATGCCGAGCCTTAATATTTTTAACACATGAGCCCACCTTTATGGATGAGGCCAAATAAAATAGCAAAAATACTGTTTCTACACCCTACTAGTCTGGACTAATCGTAAAAATTTCAATAATGTTAATCGGACCTACCATTCTGCTTCTATGATTTTTTTATTGGGCGTAAGTTGGATTTGGTCCAAAACGTGATTTTTCTTCCTTTGGGGTGAAATTTCGTGTCAAAAAATATTTTTTGAAGTTATCGAGCGAATTGTGGTACCACTGAATTACTCCCAAATCAAAAGTACCCATTAGGCATTCAAGAAGAGCTCAGGTCCTGTTCAAGAGACCAAAATATTTATTGGGTGGTTGAAATGCTAAATTCCAGGCTTCATTTCGGACCAAGGATAAAATTCGCTGTCGCCGAACGTCCACCTTCTGGAATACGATATATGGTCCAAACGGAAGCTAGATACATGTGCTAAACACAATACAAGTTTGGAATCCCAAAAAAATCTATAGCCTAGAAATCAGACCAATATCCCGTGGAATTAGTGCGTACCGCGAGTGAGATGAAGGTACCAAGACTTCGGGCTGGTGTCGCTTCAAAAGGAGAAAATTTCGAACGCTGGTTGGTCTATCTTAAAGAGAATTTTATGGGCTTTCACGTGATATCGTTAGTTTTTCAAAATTACATCAACTTGGTTCGCTACATTAATTTATGTATTGGTCATAACAATTGGCCCTACTAGTTATGAACAATTACCTTTGGGCGCCTATCGGTGCCCTCCGAATATGGCGTTCTGAGCAATTGCCCTCTATCAAATTTCGGGACCTGACAATATTTGTTTGTCGAAAACTATGTGAAGTAAAAGAATCAAGCTAAAAAGTTTATCAAATAGTCCTAAGACCGTTTCACAACATTTTTTATAAGTTTTTCTAATGACCATTCTATCTTTACGAATAGAAGAAAATCATTTATTAATTTTCCCAAATGTCGTTTTTATCTAGTGCACAGCCGGGCGCCTAACGGCGCCCTTGAGGGTTTGGCGCCCTAGGCAGTTGCCTAGGCTGCCTGACCCTTAAACGGGCCCTGAATTGACGTTAATAAAACCTGGTCTTTGAAGTCAAAATATCGCTATTTCATGATCAAATTCATCATGTACTGTCCCATAGAATGAGTCGAGTCATAAATTGAAGGCGCGAACCGGTAAACGTCGTGTTCTCGACAGGAATAAAAAAGAAGACACATTTCTGCCCAGCTGTTTCAAATAAATTGATTCCATAAATGTGAATATTGTTCATCTTCAAGCATTGGTAAGACCTAACAGATGTAGATAATGAGCTAATTCACATCGGGATTCGTAATTCTGTAACCGCGTAAACTTAGGAAACTTACGAACGTTTGACGATACTTTCAGACTTTCTCTAATAAAAGGCAAAAACGTTGGCTTGTTTTTAGGCTTGTTTTTAGAATTTGGTTCATAAGCTGATTTTCGTAAGTTTACGTGCTTACAGACTTACAATATTTATTACTGAAATTGTATTTCAATTTCAAAAACGAATTTTGCGACATTTCACCTTCACGTCAATTTATAATATTCTCAATTCAGAGGAAAATGATAATAAGTATTTATTAATTTCATATAACCATTTATAAGTCCTTAATTAATAAATATT